TGCGTGTCAGACATGGTGTCGGACACTGCACGCCTCTTTGAGGAGTAGTGTCGGTGCATCATAGACTATGACAAACACATAACTTCTACAACATCGTAGAAGACCCGTCAAATTCCAAAAATGTCCCCCACACATGTAACATAATTTGTATACACATAGGTACACAAGGGGTAAGTGCAATTATATAGCCCGCATGGGCGTCGACAAACGTGTTATGGATACACACGTAATATTTAGGGATGCTGCGCGGGTCAATAAATAAGCCCAAGTTCGAACCCAATCCTCCTAAACAGGTAAGTAGGACTTGACAAGGTTCTATAAATAGTTATAAAATGCCTCAAACACTCACATGGGCCCTGACGAGCGTGTTATGGATACACACGTGGCGTCTAGGGATTCTACGCGGGTCAATAAATAAGCCCAAGTTCAAACCCAATCCTTCTAAGAAGGTAAGTAAGAGTTGCGAAGGTTAAATAAATAATTATAAAATGCCCTCAAACACCTGTATGGGCCCCGGAGATAGTGTTTTAGATGCACACGTGACGTTTAGGGATGTTGCGCGGGTCAATAAATGAATGTAGTTTGAGCCCGATCCTCCTATATGCACGGATAAGAGTTGATACGGCTCGAACTATCGAACAGATATACGATTAGGGTGTCGACTAGAATATATGTTTTATACGTTCAAATAAGGCCTTCGAGGCCCCACAACAAGGAAAATTCATTAATAAAATCATAAAGCCTACAAACCCGATCTTCTGTCGATAGCTTGACAGAGTCGACAAGGTTAAATCCACAAATGAAAATGACGCCAAAACCCTAATGATGGTCGTGTTGAACTTTTTACCTCAACCGGAGGGGTTCACAAATATTTTCAAATGACCTTAGTCACCCCGATGATGGCCGTGTTGAATACTAATCTCAACCGGAGGGGTTAACTCCAAATATTTCAAATGCCCTCAAACTTCAATAAAATGCAAATATTTTCAAATGACCATAAAACCTCGATGATAGTCGTGTTGAATGTTTATCTCAACCGGATTCTAAAACTTTAAATGCCATCCTAAATACCCAAAAGTCCAAAGTCCAAAAATCCCACAATTCAAAAAATTCAAATGTTTAAAATTGAAATTAAACCATCAAATACTTAAAACACGAAATACATCCACCCTCCGCAACAGTTTGTCGGGGTGGACAAATTAAAATTTACTTTAGCTCACATAGAGCTAATGCCTAGTCGAAAATATCACTAGGATCCATTCTAAAATAATCCCCTGCTAGTAAGGACATGGTACGTCCTCTGATCGGCGATTTTGCCGCCAAATGGCACTGCAGGATAAACGGTTATGACCCGGGGCCCTCTGAACCGAGTGGTTTTGCCTTAAATAACATCACAAATACCGGTTATGACCAGAGCCAATACGTTCCTTAGTGGTATCAAATCATTGAGATATGAATCAATAAGATATGATCGACAGGGCATAAAGCCCTCTGTTAGCTAAGGTGGATTCAAATTTGTCCCCTTAGATAAACATTTACCCTAGGTCTACAAGTTCCCCTTAGACAAGCGACCCATGGTTGCCGATAAGGATCTTTCTATTAGGTTGGGTCGACTATCTCCTGTGACTAAATAGACCAGGGACCATGATGGCCCGGGATGACAGAACCATGTGATCTTGATCGAGTCCGTCATCCATTCCCCCACCATCCGCTTTAAGTGTAAGATGGTGAAATTTTCATTTTTAAATATAAAATCTTCAAATTATCAAATGTGATGTCCCTAGGATCTAACTTGGAAGAATTATTCTTTTAATCATTTATAAAATCAATATTAGAGGTGTCAATTTGGGTCACGGGTCGGGTTCGGGTCGAACCCGGAATTGACCCGGCACTATTCGAGTTCGGGTCAACCCGACCCGTTTTTACAAACGTGTCGATTATTCGGGCCCGAACCAGACCCACTTCGGGTTCGGGTCAACCCAACCCGACCCGTTTAGGGTTTAGGGTCACGTCGTCACGCGAAGAGACTCGGACAACAGATGGCGGACGGCTGACGGGCTGAGTCGCGGACGCCAGTCACACGGATGCCGACCACGTGAACTCTGTTCAGCCAGTCATGCGGACGTCGGACTGCGGAGTGCGGACTGCCGACGACTGTTTTCACGCGGACGCCGTTCACGCGGACCGCGGACGGTCACGAGGACACGCCGGTCACGCGGACGGCGGAAGGCCGGAAGCCAGTTTGCGGACGCAATGGCGTGATGCGACCTCGGGTCAGGAGGATTTCCGGGTCATTTCAAGTCAGTCCCGGGTTCCCGTGTCAACCCGAACTCGACCCGATTTTGCAAACGGGTCAGTTTTATGGACCCGAACCGCTTTGGGTTCGGGTCAACCCAAACCCAAAATTTTTGGGTCGGGTTCGGGTCGGGTCCAATATTGACAGGTCTAATCAATATACAAGAGTTATCTAAAATCATCAATATACACATTTACATTCATTTCCCCAAAAATTTTTACATTACTCAGAGTCTGATACGATTATCACATATCCAACCTGCCCTTAGCACAAAAAGAATTACTAACAAAAGAGCAAAACCTGAAGAATCCTGATCAACCTCACAATCCTGCTCTCTTTCCCTGACCTGAAATCATTAGCTATATATAATGAGCTTAAAAAGCCCAGTAGGTCACCAAAACCTCCCACTGAAATCAAAGCACGGTATGAAAGTAATATGCATGTCAATCAGTCAAATCATAGCAGCCATATTCATATGATCATTGAGTCAATGAAGGTACATTAATCAATGTCGAAAAAGTAAATAATACAAAAACAGAAAAATCAATAATCATCAGTAGTAGAATCGGTATACAATATCAAAGCCCATAAAAAAATAGGCCAATACATGTGTCAATCTCAAGGAAATCATTATATTTATAACATTAGTCAGATCGCTAAAGAAATTATCGTATCCATAATATCAGTCAGTATAAAATCGTATAAAGCGTCAACTCAAAACATCGGTAATAACGGTTGGAATCAAATCAGTACGGTAAAATCGTATCAGAATGTACACTAGCAATCCAGTTATTCGATATCATGTGCTCAGTGTATCACATGCATAAGATCAATACGGTGGATCAGTAACACATGCATAAGATCAGTACAGTGAATCAGTATCACATGCATAAGATCAATATGGTGAATCAGTATTATCATATGGTAATAGTGTCTATATCAGTATCACTAATAATATAATGATAGTAACAGTAATGCAATAACAGTAAAATCGTGCAGTGACAATAAATCCATACAGTAACAATAAGAATAATGATTAAATACATGTATTTCAGTAGTTATACCCAACAAGTAAAAGTTCTTACTATTACGGTGCTTTTCAGTCTTGTATCAGTATCAGTATCATATCCGTTGGCTCAGTAAACAGAGTTAACACTCTTTGCTCGTCGGCACAGTAATCATCTCTTTATAACTCCCAATCAGTATCACGTGAATCAGTAAAGAATAATACCAAATCATATTTAAAGGAAAGCCCGTCGGCCCACCATCCTGTACAGGTCAATCAATATCCAACCAACGGTTCAACCAGTCTTTATTTGTCTTTTACACACGCAGTAATATCACAGTAATGTAATAACAATTTTAATCATGTATCAACATTCATTATCATCTCATCAATGCATTGCAACAGTAAAACATGATTTAGCTCAATCTAGAAAATGCCTGAAATATCATAGCGGTAGATAGACATCATTGTATCTTCAAAATCATCCGGTGAAAAATCACAAAAATACTCAAAATGCTCATAATCACATTCTCTACCACATACAAAAAGTTACATAGTGAAAGTTTCGTCAATACAAAGATATGCACGTTTTCGGTAACAAAAACTCAAATTTGAGTGAAAAAATACCAAATCACGAAATCTTTGAAATCAAAAATAGGGTTTGGAATCCTTACTGCGAGACGAGCAATTCCCTCAACTGCGATGAAGGACGAAAATCGCTCCGCGGCCTCCAAATCCAAACCTCTTCTTTGTCTCTCCTCTTCTCTCTCTCTCTCTCTCTCTCTCTCTCTCTCTCTCGATTTCTCTCTTCAGAAAAAATGAGATTCTTTATTTAATTGCATGAGATATTTTCGATTGTACGGATGATAGTCCTGTTCGTACTGGGACGATCTCCTCTGTTCAGCCTTCCAAACGAACATCATATGGACGATAATTAATTTCGTCCCGTGGCGATCGGCTTTGTTCAGTCCACTTCAATTTGTCCAGACGGTTCGTACAGACAAAATTAACAAAAAAATCATGAAATCTTAGGGGTTTTACATCAAATTCCAAGCCCATGCTGCTAATATATGCCATATATTGCGTATCTCTATGTATCTGATTGACGCCTAGCCTTAATCGAAAGTTCTCTCTTGTTATCGGGAGGGATAATTAACTATAGGAGCTTGCGCCTATAGGAAATCAGGGCTTAGATCATAAAGTCCTCGCAAAATGAGGGCAAAATCTCTAGGTAGTGTCTTATCTACAAACCTATCTACATTCCTAAAATTTACCCCGGAACTTAATCTGTTAAAACTCTCCTGAAGAAAGAAAAAGCACAGCGGGCAGAGGCTGGGGCCAAATTTTTGGAGCCCAAATGTAAATATTTATGATGATGTTGCCAACTACACCTTGCCTGGGTTTTTGTTTTTTTAATTGTGCTCTATTTGATTTTATATTTTCCTTTGCTATTTTCTTCAATTATTTGTTTTGATTATTGTAGACTATAATGTTTTGGCCTTGTACTTAAATTATTGTTTTTAGTATTGCTTTTAAAATATTATTATTTGAATGAACTGAACTTGAATGTTCTCGTTATATGAGACAGGACAGTCAAATGTTTATGTCATGGTCCTCATATGGATCCCTATACCCAATTATTCTTGTACTTTTTGCTGTACTGGTTGGTTTCAGTATTTGCTGTTGATTGTGATTTAGGGATGGTACATCACTTGTTCTGTCTGACGAAGTTGGTCAAATATTTATAATAGCCACCGGACAAGGAGAATCTCGAAAAGATGCACAATATGATCAGGTGAATATCAAATTGTTTGGCACTAGATTTCATTTATAACTATATTATTATAATTGCCATGTACCTGATAGTTCTTGCTAACCATACTGAGAGCTTAATTTTTTTCTTGATAGTTTTTTCTTGGCGACTACCGACCGCTCATCCAGGACACAAATGGAAATGTTTTGGATCAGGTTTGTTAGAAATTTTAAGTTTCCAGATTCTTAATTCATCTTTCTATTTTAATATGCATGCCTTTTGTTTTTCATTTTTTTTTGTCATGCATATGTATCTGCAGTGCTACTTTTTCAGAGAGAAGGTATTCTTTAAGTATTCTGTGATATCTTTCTGATAGAATTTTGTAAGATAGGGTTACAACAATAAGAAAGAGGAAACTACAAAAATATATTGATAATGGCATACGCAGTATGGTAGGATGGTTATGAAAAAAAAAAAAGAATGTACGGTCTATTCTAAAACTAATTTTTGTCAGATATTATTCATCCAAATTTTGAAGTAGATTGCATCAAATGCTTCATCTATTAATTTATAATACAAGAATGTGTCATCTTTTCAAAGAAAAAACTGTTCTTGCAAGTCATTTGAGTTGGATCATATAAAAAGATGCTCGAAAAATCATGAAGTTTATCTGGAAACTAGCTGGAAAGTTAGGAGTATTTTAATCATACATATGAAACTATACTGTTGATGTCTTGTTGTGCTAACCTTGAAAGATTGTGACGTGTCATTATGTTGTACCTAATTATCAAATAGGTTTATATTGTTCCTTATTTGCTAGAAGATTATTCAACGATTTAAAAGTTTCAAAATGTTCCATTAATATTTGATAATGCAATTTTTTTCTTTAGCAACCCTTTTGGACTGTTTGGAGAAATGGAATGGATCTTCATATGGTCTTTATCGGGTCCAGATGAGTGATATGATGGTGACAGATTAGTGAGGGATGTACCAAGGACAATCTATATTCAAGCTATTAGCGATAATTGAGTACAAATGAGGGTACAAATATAATTATTTATCCTATGCTAGTCACAAATGAACCTGATTTAAACATCAAGAGGGAAGGCTTGTGATGTGAAACATACAAGTGAACAAGAATTGCTTTTTGGAAATTAACAATAGTTTGAATGTTAACTTTGCTAATTACAAACTTATGTTTCACCTAGTTGAATTCCTAGGATTTTCCGTTAGAAGATTAATTAATAGCAAGTGAAGAGAATAACAAGACAAATACAAATAACAGCAAAAACAATATAGTAAAGCTAATACCAACGAAACAAAAATCCACGGCGTAACATCAAGAAGTGTTCACCCTGAGTTCCTTCACACTCGCTTTTGAAGTTGGGGTTTAGCGGAGAAATGGTAGAAGCAACCATAGTGATGCCACCACAAGACAAGTGGCGCGTAAGGTCTTGTTCGCCGGAGAAGTAGCCAGAGGAGGAGAGGTTGTTGATCGGCCAATGATTTGTCAATGTCCCTTGGGTCGTTGATCATCAATCGTTTCGGCGAGGCAATAGAGTATGCGGTTGATGTAGCTTTCCACTGAATCTTTATAGTCCCAATCTAGATCTTAGAAAGGAGAAAGCAAGATGTCGATTTCTCCTTGAGCATTGTATGCGAATCCGTGGTCGACCTCAGGGTCGGCCATGCACCGATGGGAGAAGGGAAGGAGGCGTTTGTCTTCTTTCCTTGGCTCCAAAACTCATGAGAGAGCTAGGTTTTCCAAGAGGGATAAGGTGAGATGAAGGAGCGGCCAAGGAGAGAGGGAGTGGCTTGTGTGGGCTAAGTTAGGTTAGGGTTTGGAGAGAGGGTTTCAATAAATCTGAAATTACTTTAGATTTAATTAAATTTGGAGGGAATTGAATTTGAAAATTGAATTCTAATTCTAATATGGTTAGGGCTTCAATAGCAAAACAATGGGGAGGCCCATTAATGGGGCCGGCGGCATGAGGAGAGGAGGGAGAGGATTGAGGAGGGTTTTAAAAATTCCAAACAAGCATTTGCAAATTAGGAAGGAGAATAATAAATCATTTCTAAATTAAATTTAGATTGGATTTAAATTTAAAAACTTTTATTATTTAGAATTTGCAAATATGGAAAGTTTTTGAAATTCAAATTTGAATTTCAAATTATTTTAACATCTTTCTTGCTTGAGCCCAATTTAGGGAGTCAATAAGATGATTGAAATCACCATAATGACGTGGAGTAAGGGTGTGGGTCGGCGGCAGGAGGAAGAGGGAGGGGAGTTGGCGTCGGGTTGGAGGTGGGGGAAGGGGTTGAGCCGGCGGGTGGGGGTTTTGGGAGGTGAGGTTTAGGGGAGGGAGTTTGAAGGTAGGCCGGTGGTGGAGGGGAAAGGAGAAGCCTTCGGGCGGGGAAGAAGAAAAGGGAAAATAAAATAAACCACGAGCCACAGACTCTTCCAATGACTAGTGGGTATTGTGCTCGACCTCACTTCTAATGCATGCAAATTTCGATTTATTTTAGGTTTTTATTGTAATTTGAATGCTATAATTTTTTTTATTTAATTTTTTTATGCTACCCTATGATGGAAAACATCCAATGATCATGAGTAGGTAATGCTTGGGCTTGACAAACTTTGAGTGTGCTAGCTATTTGGGTTCTTTGGTCTTTGGGCTGTTGGGTGCTTCTCGGGTTGGCTGGGCTACTTGATTTTGAGTTGTGTTCTTGGGAGATGCTTGGGTCTAGCTCATTAATGCCTGAGCTGATGTTTTAGCTCATTATTATGAAAAGCTATTCCTCTTGTTAGCTCATTATGTGGAGAGGATTCTTGCTCTTTTCCCTTCCCTGTGTCTCTTCGGTTTTCCCCTCCTGGTTCTTCTTCCCGTGGCCTGTTCTAGTTCCCCTGGCTGCTTGTCCTGCTTCCCTTGGCCGTTCGCTCCTTTCCTCGTGGCTGCTTTTCCCGATTTTTGTGAGGTTGTTCGGGTGCTGTTCTGGAATGAATTTTGGCCTTCCATTTCCCCTTACCTGATTGGTTCGATTGGAGGTGGTTTGGCTGTTTGGCTGTCCCTTTTTCTCCCTATAAATTTGAGGTGTTTTGAATCATTAAAGGTTGTTGAATATTTGAGCAAAGTCTCTAAAAAAACCCGAGGGTTTCTTCTTCCTTGGAAAAACTTGAGAACTTGTTCCATTTCTCTCTTCCTCCCCTCTATTTCGTCTTGGGCTTCTAACATCTTTTTCTCTCCACAAGTTCCACTCCAGTTGTATCTTTCTTCTTGAGCTTTTGGAGGTGTTTGTTGGCTGATTTGGTGACATTTTCCAGAGGAGTTTTGATGGACGTTGGACTTTGTAGTTGTGGTGGACCCTTGGTTTGGAAGTCCTTAAGCACTTATTTTATTTTGCCTACTTTTTCATTGCATGTGAGGAAATCGCTTGCCGGTTGTTCTGAGGATTGTGTTTTTTAATTTTAATTTTGTTTCGTTTGTTCGGCTTTCATTTGTTTTTGTGTTTGTTTGGTTGTCAACTTACTAGTTTTTTAATTGAGTTATGTTCTACTAATCCTAGTGTTCTCCTCTTTTGGCTCTTTCTTTCTAGTTTGCCTGCATCAACTTTGGGCTCTCTCTTCTCTCTAGTGCACACACAAGAAGAAGACAAACATCAAATTTCATTCAAATCTTCATTAACTTTTTACAAAGCATAAGACCGCTATATCTAGGTCTCAAACACATAGAAAAGTACTCAAATGCCCTCTGGGCTACAATAAGAAAACACTCCTCGTAGGGGTAAACACAAAAAACTGAAATGCAAACTAAATAAAACATAAAATACATCAAAAGTAAAGACTCTGAATCATAGCCGTCGATCTACAATTCCGTCGTCAGTACATATGTCGGAATCTCTGAGTGATGTCCTCATCAACTTGTGGTTTTATAATTTGTAGAAAGCATATTGTTGCTAGCTTTGGAGTAAGGTAACTAAACAAAACAATGGAATGATTTGATGGATTTTGGCAAAAGTTATGATTTAATGTAGTGCAAGCTATTAATTTAAGGGGGAATATTACATCCAATGATGTGTGATGCAGAAGAAGGCAAAATAGCTAGTGTAACAAGTATGTTAGACAATATACTTTTTTTTTTGTTTGCTCACCCCTAAGAACTTCTACAGAAGTATGAAAAGCTGTTTCTTATTCTTTAGATGCAACCAAACGAAGATTACTAGATTAGCTAGATGTTTATCTGTCCATTGGAAAAATCTTCAAAATGTCAAATGTGGATAATGAAACTCTTGCTTGAAAAAAAAAAAAAAAACAAATCTTTGCCACGTACAACTCCCGCTCCATTCTCTCCGAGCCCATATGCACCTTCCCCGTGCCTACGATCCTGTTCTCCCCTCGCCTCCACCAACCTCTTTCTCTCTCTCACCTGCTTTCTCTTTTTCTCCCTTTCTCTCTACCTCGCTCTCTCTCTTTCTTTCTCTTCCTCTTTCTCTCTATTTTTCTCCTTTCCTCTCTAATTCCCTCTCTTTCTTTCTCTCTCTTACTCTATAATTTTCTATCTTTCTCTCTCTTACTCCCTATCTTTCTCTTTAATTTTCTCTCTTACTCTTTTGCTCTCTTCTGATAGAAAAGTACCCCTCAAACTTAAAGGAAAATTCCATAAGATGGCGGTGAGATCTAAAATGTTTTGTGGCCCAGAATATTATCCATTAAAAGAAAAGCATAAAAATTAAGTGTTGTAGAGATGATAATTCTTTGGTGGATGAGTGTCTTTACACATAGTCTGAATGTGAAATGAGTACATTCGTGAAAAGGTTGGAGTAGCTCCAATGACATATAAGATTACAAAAAGTCGCCTTAGATAGTTTGATCACATAAAATGTTGGCCTTAAGATGACTCGATTAGGAGAGTAGATGGATTAGATCTAGCCTATCTTAAGAAATCTAAAGGTAGGTCTAAAAAGTTTTGGTAATAAAGTATTAAAAATGACCTTTGTTTATTACACAATGGAGAAAAGAAATTTATATAGCTAACCCTACGCAGTGGGATAAAAGATTGATGTTGTTGTTGTACTCTTTCTCTCTCTTCCTCTCCTTTTTTTCCCCTCTCTCTTTCGCCCTCTTTATCTCTCTTTCCCACCCTCTTTATCACCATTTATCTCCCTAAAAAAACCAATAAACCAAAGAAAATGAAAAGGAAAAAAGTGAAAAAGGGGA